CTGGGACCTGGGGCTGGTGATTTGGGGGTGAGAGCCTACTGTTCCCCTTCCCCCATCTAGGGTGTGGCCTGGCAGCTCTCCCCAGATCCCTCCCCGCCAAGCTGCCAGACTATGTTTTGTTAAACCAAAATAGGAGAAAGACTAGGAAATATGGCAGCAAGCCCAGGCATGGGGGGAAGGGGAGGAAGGATGGGGCCATGGCCTGTCCACAGAAATGGTCCCTGCCCCACAAGGAGTTGAGGCTCAGCTGCCCTTACCCAGCCTGCCGCTCCCACCTCAGCACCATGGCCATGGCTCTCCCTGCACAGGAGCCATTTCCCAGGTCTCTGGATTCCCTGGCTGCTAGTCACAATGAGCTGCCACCCCCGCTAACCTCTTCCTGACCAATCTAACCAACCTCTATCCTTGTCTTCATCACTGTTCCTCTTCCTCTGGCTCCTTGCTGATTGCCTCTGCCCTCAGACCCAATTTCCACAGGTGAGGGAAAGGGAGACAAGTCTTTTCCGAGGTGAGCCAGGTTCAGATGTCCCCCTGTCCTCTACTTGCTTAGCTCCCCAGCTCTGCCCTCAGGATGGCCTCTTCTCATGCAGGGGAATATCTGTGCAGAATGTGTTCAGGGAAAAAAACAAACAAAAAAACAAAACGAACAAAAAAGAAACATCCAGTGGAATAGGAGCTGACCATGGGGTGAGAACTGCCTGGCCCGAGGCTGGGGGTCGGGGGTGGGGGCGTGTTGGGCTCTTAAAATGGCCCTCGGCCTCTGGTGCTGAAGTCCCAGGGTTTGCTCTGGACCCTGGCCTGCACCCCATGGCCCTACGTGTCCTGCACAGATGTGGATGAGTGTGCCGAGGGCAATGGCGGATGTCAGCAAAGCTGTATCAACATGATGGGCAGCTACGAGTGCCACTGCCGGGAAGGCTTCTTCCTCAGCGACAACCAGCACACCTGCATCCAGCGGCCAGAAGGTCAGCCCATGACCGGGGAGGGCCCTGCCCCTGCCCTCCCCAGGCTTCTCTTCCTAGCTGTCCCTCAACACGCCCTAAGTCTTACCCTCTGTTCTCAACTCTGCTAGCTCCATTTTCTCCACCCCCAACTCAGTCACAACCTAAGGGCCCATGGACAGATATGTATTGGAGCAAAATCTGCAGGAATTAATTTGGGGTCAGGCTCAGTATGGGATTGAGGCTACTATGGGGCGTCCTCTGTGTCCAGACCTGAGGTGGATATTGTTCCTAATATCAGTGGCTGAGTTGTGGGTGGCTGAGTTTGTCTCGGTTGCTGTTTATCTGAAAGGGCTGCATCAATGCCTTCTACCTTGGATTTGATTTGGAGGCTCAGGCAGGAATAGTGGGGTACATGTTACCTATTTCTGTGACTTACCCCCAACCCCCACTAGACTGTGACATCCCTGAGGGCAGGGACTATGTCTAATTCATCGTCATATCCCTAGCACCTAACATACTGCCCTGCATGTAGTGAGAGCTTAATAGATGTTGAATAAAATTGCATAGTAATTATCTATACCAATTACTCCCACTCACATTATAGATCTGGTTGTTATTTATCTTCTTCCTAGTTTGTCTCTAAGCTCCTTGAGGGAAGAGATCATGTCTTACCTTTTTCTGGATCCTTCCTAAATCCACCCATTCCCTAGCACAGCGCCAGACACCTATTAGACACCATTTTTTGGTTGTTTAAGGAGAGTGTGACCGTACAGATTTTCTTAGAGAGGGATGGGTATCAATAGCTATCATTCAGAATCGTTCTGCGCTCTGCTTATAGAACCCCACTCTGTGGGCAAGACAGGAGGCCTGTGACAGGGAGAGTCAGTGCCCTCTCGGTGTTAAAACACCGTGGAATTCTCCCAACTTCCTAGACCCCGACTTGCCCCTTAGAGTTCCTCCTCTTCTAGGCATCCCGGGGCATAAAGCATTCACTCCCTTCCTTTTCCCTTTTAGAAGGAATGAATTGCATGAACAAGAACCACGGCTGTGCTCACATTTGCCGGGAGACACCCAAGGGGGGTATTGCCTGTGAATGCCGCCCTGGCTTTGAGCTCACCAAGAACCAACGGGACTGTAAATGTGAGATAACTGGGATGGCAGTGGGAGGAAAGGGAAACAAAGTGGAGCAGTGTGGGGCCTCAGCAGCAGGAAGACAGGGCTGAGAGGAAAAGGGAATATGGGGAAAACAACTAGAAAAGAGGGCCAGTATCCATGTTGTGGAGAACTGCGGTCCTCAGGGAGAAGCAAGCTGATAGACCTCTGCCCTCTCTGTGCACAGTGACATGCAACTATGGTAACGGTGGCTGCCAGCACACATGTGATGACACAGAGCAGGGTCCCCGGTGCGGCTGCCATGTCAAGTTTGTGCTCCATACTGACGGGAAGACATGCATCGGTGGGTGAGGCCAGGGGAAAACTCAGTCTGCCTGTGGTGGTGGGGGGGCCCTTGGGAACCAACCAGGGGTAGTGGGGGAGCACATGGGCCCAGGTGCTGGGACAGAGGGACTGGAAAGGGAGTTAAAGACCCAGACAAGGCCAGGTCTAGTGAAGGACAACTCTAAGAGTGATTGAAGGGCTCACCCGACCCTCTTCCCCTCCCCAACCCACTGGTTCTGCTGCCCTTCCCCAGGAGCCTCGCAGTCCTCTTTGTCCCAGGACAAAGTGTTGCCAACAGAATAATTAGCAAGGGTGTTTGCCACCAAGGCTGTGGTTGAGAAGAGGTGGGAGGGCTGAGGCAATGCAGCTGATTAGGCCTGACTAGAGGCCCTGGTTGACCAGTGTGGATAGGAGGGGAGCTGTCATGGCTCACTGTCCCCACTCTGGAACTGAGGGTGGGACAGAGAGCTCTTTCCTGGAACAACCATCCCTGAACTGCCAAATGGGGTTTCCTGGCTCCAGGTATCTTTTTCCTCTGGATCCTTTCTCTCTCACACTCCTCCTGCAAATCCCCTGTCTATTCCCCTTACCCTAGCCCCCACTTCCTTCTCTCCTGTAGATCCCAGTGTACCCCCTCTCAGCTCCACCTCTAGCCCCTTCTCTTCCTTATCAGCTCCAGCCTTCCATCTCTCTTGCCCTGGTTTGGGGCCCTCTTAATACCTGGCTCCCTCTTCCTGGCATTCTAGGCCTTACCTCATATCTTTAGGTTCCCTAGATGAGTATAATTCCTTAAAGTTCATTTCTAATTCCCTAATTCTTTAGGTCTTTAGTGCTGAGAAGGATGATGGGACAGAGTATCTCTTGGAGAAGTGGGAAATGAAAGGGAAGAACTTTGGCTGGAGGAGAGTCTGTGTCCTGAGCCAGGCGGGGGCGAGCTTGATCTGTAGGCGTTGGTGTTTATGGGCGGCCATCCATCTGGTGGGCTGCAGCATGCTGGAGATGGGCAGGGGTGAACCCAGTCACTCTGTGGGAAGTCATGTGTATCAGGGACATGACATTCAGCTGAAGAACAAGACTCTCCCCACCCCACTCCGCAGGCCTGCCCCCTCACTGCAGACACGAGAACAGGGGAGCAGATGATGCTTTTACAGGGCTCCCTCAGGCACCTGCTCCAGAGACTTGCACACACGGTTCTAAAGTGCTTCTGTAATTAAAATCTCTCCTGCTACATGTTTCCCTCTGAATTAACTCTTCAAAGACCCTAGAACATTTTTAGGTCTTCATGTTGCCTTCTCCTGGCTGGTGTGTTTTATTAATAGTTCCTTTCATTTTTTTCCTCACAGATCTAATTCTTTTGTTTTCCAAACATCCCACTACCCCCTGGACACATTCACACATCCCCAGAGCCTCCCAAAAGAAATTGCATGCAGTCCCCAAAGAAAATATGCATGAATCAGGACAAAGCTCGGGGCCCATGGATGCGTGGGTCTGATCCTTCTCAGACATGGCTGCTTCTGAAAACAACCCTATTGAGCTTGAGCTCTTGTCCAACCCAAGACCCATTCTGCCGTCCAGGCCATGGCCAAGTGAGGCAGTAGACAGCAAATGAGGCTGTTCTGGGGTTTACAGCTATGTTCCTTCCTAGTTCCCCTTCCTCTTCTCTAAAAGAACTTATTTTACCCTGCCCTACATCTCATTTTTCTTGCCAGCCCCGGTAGGGGGAAAGTCATTGTCTGGGGCTATCAGGACATCCAGATGTAGGGCGAGGATGAGAGGGCAGTGCAGTTTAGCAGAAAGGAAGAGCACCCTTTGGAATTTGGGATTTGGCAGTCTATAAGACTTGAGGTTACACCCCAGCTTTGCCTTGGGCATGCTGTGTCATATTGGGCCCATGGTTGCCCCTTTCTGAGACTGTTTTTCAGTCACTTGGTGGGAGCTTCTTTGAGTATACCAGGTAGGACAAGGCTGAGGAGTGAAGCTGTTGTAAGAGTCTCAGGGTTCATCATTTGGGGCTAGTGGTTTGGGTTTACAGGGTGGAGGAGGGGGTGGGGAGGGTTCTAAGGCCTAGTGGGCCACAGTGGCCCCTGCCCAGCATCTAAATGGTTTTTTTACAATGTCAAACAGGGGAAAGGCGGCTAGAGCAGCACATCCCCACTCAGGCCGTTTCTAATGGTAAATATGTCTGCTCTCTCCGCTTGCTCTCACTGGCTTGCTCGGGGAAGGGCTAACCCGCTGGGGCTCCCACTAACTGCATGCCCATCGGGCCCGGTCAACAGGGTTCCCCCTGCCAGGCAGCCTGGGCACTGGGCCCATCAGGTGACAGGAAACCTGAGTCCCTAAGAGCTGGCCTGGGAGCCTTCATGTTGGTTTTGATTTTCTTTGTTCCTATCACTCTCCTCTCCTTCCTCTTCTGCTCCTTCCTCTGACACCTGTCTTCTAACACCCCACCTCCTTCCCAGCCATCTGCCCCAAACCCTGTCTCTACATAGAGACCCAGCCAGCTCCATCTTCCCCATGACGCCCATGTGCCACCTGAGATAGGGTTAGATACCATCCCCTCCTTAAGGCCTCTTTCTTGGATTCTTACCCATGTTAGTTCACAATCCCAGCATCACTCACCATTCTCTCCCCCATAATGGTTATGAGCATGGCATTTGCATTCAGACAGACCCGAGTTTGAATCCTGGCTCTGCCACTTCTAACTGTATGACCTCAGGCAAGCTGCTTTCCTCTCTGATCTTGGTTTACTCTTCTGGAAAATAAGGAGAATAACAATCTTCCCTTAAGGTTGCTGTGATGACTGAGATAGTGCATGTAGAGTATCTAGTAAGTGCCTGGCACAGGGTTAAGCAGAGTGACTTGTGGTTTTAATACTGCAACCTGGAGAGCAAAGGAGTCAGGCTGTGCCTTCCTGCAGCCCCACCCTGCTCTGGAGAATGCTGTCCTGCAAAGGCGGGCAGCTGTGCCCTGCTTCCTGTGCAGCCTGGGATGGACACTGTGCCAGCTCTGCTGCTCCCTATCCTGGATTCTGCAGAAGCAGAATTCTGATGAGCAGTTAGGCCTGGAACTGACATCTTTCTTAAGACAGTTGGGCAGGGAGGAAGGGGAGATAAATGGATGGGCATCCCTCAGCTGTCTTAGGAATGGCCAGGCTCATTCTTCTTCCCAACCTCCCCTACTCCCTGCTCCAAGGCTTAGTGGACTTCTTCTCATGCTAAGAGCACTCTTAGAGGGGATGGCTAGGTTTGGAGCCTAAACTCAAGGTTTCCTCCCAGGTTCCTCCATGGTCTTGGGGAACCTCAGAAGAGACTAAGGTAGGAATCACACAGAAGAGATCCCACTCCAGGCTGGGCTGCTCCAAAACCTGGGTATTTAAGGGACCAGGCCATGGCCAGGGACCACAGGCAGAGTTGGGCTTCTTCTGGAGCCCTGGCCTTGCTGCTCTCATTGATGACAAGGGTTGGGCCTGAGTGTTAGGAGTCAGCAATTCAAGAAGATGACAGTGCTGACCAGTACTTTCCTCATTCAGTTCCCCTGATTCTGAGAACTATTCTCTTCTCTTCCCTAGCAGAGGCCTTGGGCTCCTCTCTTTCTAACGGGAGAATTCTAGGTCAGAGGACCATCCACAACTCCACAGTCCCTGTGTCAGGGCCTTTCACTATTTGAGCTAATGGTTTTTCCTTGGACTCACCTGATTCTCCCAAGCTTCTGTTTAAACCTGTTTTTCTCTTGCTCTGAATTTAGAAAATACAGTGACCCACCCATTCTCCCCCAACTCTGACCTTCCAGTGAAGGGAAAATTTCCCAGTCAAGGGGGAGCAATAGAAAAGACTTAGCAAAAATAAGGATTTGGGTTTTGGCTACCTATGAGGTTCTCTCTTCCACCTACCTTTTCATCTCCTTCCTTCTCTGGATTTTTCTTCTTTTGCCTCCTCCCCTCACCTATACAATATCTTCCCATTAGCAAAGTAAAACAACAAAACAGCCAGCTTATCGCCATCTGGAACCAAAAAGGAGGGGTTGGAAACAGTTGAAGGTAGCTAAACCCATATGTGCTGTCTCCTCTGAGGATGAGCAGTTAGGCCTGGAACTGACATCTTTCTTAAGACAGTTGGGCAGGGAGGAAGGGGAGATAAATGGATGGGCATCCCTCAGCTGTCTTAGGAATGGCCAGGCTCATTCTTCTTCCCAACCTCCCCACAGTACAGTTGTTCCACCATGACCCCCACCCACCCACCAAAGATATGGTCAGTGGAAAGAGGAGGAAGCTTCTGTTTGTCCCTTCTGGTTCCCTGGCGGCCAGAACCACCCTCACTTAGCTCTCATCCCTCCCTGCTCCCCCCACCTCCTCCACCCCCTTAGCACATTCCTGCCTGACAGCTCTGGCTTGTACCTGCCTCACTGCTGTCCACCTTGTTTCAATCAAGTAGGGGGCAGGGAAGTGGACTGCTTGGCTGCACTTGTGAGGGGATGGGGGTTGGGAGTGACGGGAGGAAGGGGGCTGGCAGCCTCCCTCCACTTAATGCTCCTTCTAAAACACAGGGAGGCAGCTGAGGCCTTCCCTTGGGCCTCTGTGGTCTCCATTACCCTCCAAGTTTGGGACTCCTTTAGGCCAGTAACCTGGTTACCATCCCCCAACTCCCTCCTGAACAGAGACCTGTGCTGTCAACAACGGGGGCTGTGACAGTAAGTGCCACGATGCAGCAACTGGTGTCCACTGCAGCTGCCCTGTGGGCTTCATGCTGCAGCCAGACAGGAAGACCTGCAAAGGTAAGGACTCTGAGAGGACAGGAGCATGGAGGCCTTTGGTAAGGACTGACATTAGGACCAGAGATAGGGTGCCTATTGTAGGAACCACACCTCCTCGACTCCCTTCTTGTAGAGAGCCCAGGACATGGTTAAGGGTTGTCTCCTGTCCACCTGTCCCATCTCAGTTCAAGGAGCACAACAGACCAGGCAGTCCCTTAGTGCCCCTGCCCCTCCCCTACCTTGTTTCCCGGCTCTCATTCCTAGTCACCCTCCTAGTTAATGAACATGCAATTCACATTTGTCCCTGAGTCTGGAAGGATATTTGAGTACTGACTTTGTACGTATACGAGGTCACAGGTGTGTTCCATAACCTTCTTAATCCACATTCCTCAGGCTTTCCCAGGGGAAGATGATCTCTCCCCTTAGAAAGGCTATACTGGCCAAAGGAAGAGTAGGATGGCAGTTAGGAGCACTGATGCTGGAGCCTGGCTACCTCAGTTCAGATCCAGGCTCTGCCTCTTACAAGCTCTGTGATCCTAGGCAAGTTACTTAATGTCTCTGTGCCTCAGTTTCCCCAGTGCTTGCTTCACAGGTGTGTTGTGAGGATTAAATGAGGTATTATATATAAAGTACTTAGAACAGTGCTTGGCAAATAGTAAACACTTTGTGTTAGCTGTTATTCCAGTATAATTTTCCAAGCTGTCCATTCTATTTCCCCTCCTTTTAATTAGCCAGGTCTGGGGAATGATGGGGGAGAGGGAAAAGAAAAAAGGGAGAGTAGCCATATTACAAATATGATTCATCAGGTCTGTGTCCTCTAGTCACAAGGAGTGGGGACTGGAAGGACTGGGCTCCTTCTTTGTGTCTTTTGGCCCAACAGCTGCGAGAGGAGGGAGAGGGCTGGGGAGGGCTGGGGCAGCGGGTCAGCCAGCCAGAGTCAGAGGTTTCCTGCTGGGAAGGACTGTTGACAGGTATGCTAAAAGTGAAGTGGAAGGCTGCCCTCCCTGCTCCCTTCCCCCAACTAGGGGTGAGTAGCCTGGGTCCTGTCTGCCACCAGCTTGGGGAACTTGACCTCAGGAAGGAAGCCATTCACCAGCCCCCTTTTCCCTTACTAGTGCTGAAAGCTGCCTCAGGCCTGAGCCTCTCCAGACCTCTCCTAGCCCAGCCCCCAGTCTGGCCCCCAACCCTCCCCCATCAGCTCCCCAGCCTCCCTGGCTCTCCCGGAGGTCCTCCCTGCCTGGCCTCTTTCCCAGCTTCTCCTCCCTTTTGACTCTCCACCTCTCCTTGGCTCCCCCTACTCAGGGCTCTTGATAGGGCCCTTGGTGACAGGGGTGAGGGACAGGAAAGAGAAAACACTATCCACCAGCCCTCTTGGGAATGGGCATTAGCTGGAGAGTAAGGGGCAAGGACTAGCCCTGTAGGTCAAATGCCCACTTGCTCCCTGCTTCAGGCAATTCCCTGAGGGCCTGATTCTGGTTCCCTTCTGTCCCCTTCTAAGAGGACTCAATCCCAGAAGAGAGGGTTTTACTAATGGCCACAGACCCCCCTGAACACAGAACAAATGGAGATGAGAGACTGATGGAGGTGTCAGAAAAGGCAGGCCCAGGGCTCTCCTAGATTTTCCCTGTCTCTGTGAGGAAGGGTGGGATCTTGTCTCCTTATTTGTTCTCAGCCTTCAACATCACCTTTTATTCTGCTTTTTCCTGCTTCTCCAGACATAGATGAGTGCCGCTTGAACAATGGGGGCTGTGACCACATTTGCCGCAACACAGTGGGCAGCTTCGAATGCAGCTGCAAGAAAGGCTATAAGCTGCTCATCAATGAAAGGAACTGCCAAGGTGAGCAGACTTGAGCTAAGGTGAAATCCTTGGGAGATGTTCCTAGGGTGGGAGGCTTCAAGGAGGCCAGAGCCCCAAAGCATTAGAAACTCAATGGACACTGTGGAGTCTCTATAGGCAGCATCGTCCTGCAAACTAGCAAACAGGAGCCCTTCCTCTAGGTGGACCAGCTCCACAGTGAAGCACACAGCTTGGCAAGGAGTGAGGAATGGATTTCACCCCAATTCACGTCCTTGGCAGAGAGTGATCTGCCTAACCACACATGGTGGCCCTGATCCATAGGCACCAGATTTTACAGTTCCAGACTCCAAGTGGAGGGAGCATAGGGGATGGATCAGCATTGCTCAATCACTGATCCTAGAGCTGGGCCAAAAACAGGGACTCTTTCAATTCACGGCAGAGAGCCAAGGCCCCTCACTTGGGCCCTTCACCTGAGTAAGGGTCAGGTGTCCCGAGACAGATTCAGTGGCTCAAATCCTTGCTCTTCCAGATATAGACGAGTGCTCCTTTGATCGAACCTGTGATCACATATGTGTCAACACACCAGGAAGCTTCCAGTGTCTCTGCCATCGTGGCTACCTGCTGTATGGTGTCACCCACTGTGGGGGTAAGCTAGCAAACTTGCAGCCCCTCAGCCGCCCTATCCCCTCTCAACTCCTCATCCTGCAGGAGAATAAGACCCTGAGTTGGCTTGTGGTTATAGGGAATCCCTGAATGCATGCATTTATAGTGATGAAATGGGAGGAGTTAAGATAGTTTCTGAAGGCCAACTGGGAGACTGGGGCATCAAAGAACAGCATCCAGCCTCCAAAATTCCTATCTCCCATCCCCATCACTGTCCCTGGACCCACATCCTCAGCTCCCAAATGACAGTCCCTCTGGTAGGTAGGAGTGGAAGGCTTTAAAAAGCTAATCAGCATGACCCCTTCTCAACTATTCCTTTGAGTGGGGACAGAGATAAGGGGAGGAGGTTTGAGCTCTTCTCAGGCCAGCAGTCATCTTGGGGTACATGGAATGCTTTTTAAACTCTATTTTTTAACTGTAAGAATATTTAACATGAGATCTATCCTCTTAAATTTTTAAGTGTACACTACAGTATTGTTAACTATAGGCACAATGTTATACAGTAGATCTCTAGAACTTAGTCATCTTGCATAACACAGGGCACCTGGAACTCTAACCAAATGTCCTGCCTACTCCCTGGCTCCTACTCCTCCCCCACCATTGTCTGTCTATCTCCCTACCCCTTACCCTTAGATGTGGATGAATGCAGCATCAACCGGGGAGGTTGCCGCTTTGGCTGTATCAACACACCAGGCAGCTACCAGTGTACCTGCCCAGCAGGTCAGGGCCGGCTGCACTGGAACGGCAAAGATTGCACAGGTGGGCAGTGTCCTCTGCTGGCCAAAGTTGCAATTGCAGTTTCAATGGGGGCAGTTGGGGTCCTGGAAAGCACAAAGTATCATGCAAGGGGAACATGTGAGGTGGGAAGGGGTGGAGAATGTAGCTATTTGACTTAGAGATATGAAGTTTCTAGTAAAGAACTCCCTTCAGCAGTCTCCATGGGTACAATAGTTCTGCATGTAGCTGATTCTTTGTCCAAATTAAACATCTGAGGGAGAGGGTGGGAAAGGAATGCACCGGTTTCCTGAGGCCTCTCTCCCCTTCCTAGAGCCAGTGAAGTGTCAGGGAAGTCCCGGGGCCTCGAAAGCCATGCTCAGCTGCAACCGGTCTGGCAAGAAGGACACCTGTGCCCTGACCTGTCCGTCCCGGGCCCGGTTTTTGCCAGGTACATGGGAGGAGGATGCAGGAGGGCTTTGGGGGAGAAAGGAGCGAAGGCTGGCTGTTCAGGCAGCTCCTCTGCTCCCCTTAGATCCCTCCAGCCAGGTGGGGTTGGGAGGGCAGGTCAGAGTTGTGACAGACCCCTTCTCTCAGAGTCTGAGAATGGCTTCACGGTAAGCTGCGGCATCCCCAGCCCCAGAGCAGCTCCAGCCCGAGCCAGCCACACCGGGAACAGCACCAACTCCAACCACTGCCATGGTGAGCACCAGCCCCAAGCCTTATTTCCACCCCACTCTCTTGTATTAATTCCTTATTTTTCTCCTTCATTATTTCCCTGGACTTCCTTTGCACTGGGTCCCCCTCTTTGCCTTGAAATTATCCAGCCCTGCTGCCTTTCTCTCTGCCCCTAACATCTGATCGCCTGGGCTTCTGCAATCCCACTTCCCCAGCCAAGGCCCTGGCCAACTGCCCAGCTGCTCAATGCCCTCCACAGCACCCTCCATCCACTGGGCCCCCATGCTGTGCTGAGCTTCTACCATCCCTCTAGAGGCTGCAGTGCTGTCTGTTAAACAACGAGCTTCCTTCAAGATCAAGGATGCCAAATGCCGTTTGCACCTGCGAAACAAAGGCAAAATGGAAGAGGCCAGCAGAATCCCAGGGCCAGGTCTGGATTGGGGACCCCATTCCAATGGGATGCCTGGCCACCAAACCTTCCCCACCCCTCAGCTCCTCTGCTTAGCAAGATCACTTCCAAAACCCCACCAGCACCCTGAACTCTGGACAGAGCAGGGGAAAAAGCAGTTGTAAGCATAGGGCCCAAGGAAGTCTGCAGGACATTCCCTTCCACCAACTAATTAGTATCCTAGACTAAAAGAGGATTGATATAGTTGCAGTCAGAGATCTGGTGAGGTCTGCCTGGGTTGGGTGAATAAGTGAGAACTTTCCATGTCACCAGGGAGTTCCTTGGGGTTGACAAGTCCTCTCCCCCAGGTGGTGCCCCCTGCTTTGACTGCCAGGTCACCTTCATCCACCTCAAGTGTGACTCATCTCGGAAGGGCAAGGGCCGGCGGGCCCGGACCCCTCCAGGCAAGGAGGTCACCCGGCTCACCCTGGAACTGGAGGCGGAGGTCAGAGCCGAAGAAACCACAGGTAGGACTGGGGCACTGTTGGGAGTAGGGCCAGAAGGAGAGGGCAAAGGTGGGAAAAACACAGGTCTCAGCAGCAAAAGAGAGGGATAAGGGCAGACCCTGCCTAATGCCAAGCCTGAGAGCTAGTCCCTCTTACCATGACCCTCCTACCTCCCAGCCTTGCTCCCTACCCTCCTGCTTACAGCCACTCTCTTTCTCTTCCTTCTCTGATGCACACTACCATCCACCACCAGCTGGCTGTGGGCTGCCCTGCCTCCGACAGCGGATGGAACGACGGCTGAAAGGGTCACTGAAGATGCTCAGAAAGTCCATCAACCAGGACCGCTTCTTGCTGCGCCTGGCAGGCCTTGATTATGAGCTGGCCCACAAACCAGGCCTGGTAGCTGGGGAGCGAGCAGAGATTGTGGAGTCCTGCAGGACTGGGCAGCACCGTGCTGGGGCCAAGTGTGGTAAGGAAGCTTGCTGGGGAGCAAGGGAATGGGGAAGGCCTGGGTTGGGCCTGGTTCAGAGCAGGACCCTTCATGGCCTCAGTTGCAACTCTTAAATTATGAGGCAGCCAAGACTCTCCTGCCCACCATTCTCCCTTCCCTGGTCCCAGGCCGAAATCTAGAAGGATACCAGGAGGGGCCAGCAACCCTCCTGCACACAGCTTTGACCCCCTTTTCCCCACAAGCAGGATTCTGTTTGTTCCTGACAAAGAGATTCTCTCTAAGTCTGAGGGAGTGGGAAGGGGAGTCCCAAGCCTGGGTGGTTGGAAATGGGGGGTGGGTGGCTAGCACGGCCGACTCTCCCTCAGTCAGCTGCCCGCAGGGAACGTATTACCACGGCCAGACGGAGCAGTGTGTGCCATGCCCAGCGGGCACCTTCCAGGAGAGAGAAGGGCAGCTCTCCTGCGACCTTTGCCCTGGGAGTGATGCCCACGGGCCTCTCGGAGCTACCAACGTCACCACGTGTGCAGGTGCCAGGGGAACAAACAATACAGAGTGGGGTAGGGTGGGCACTGGGACACCCATGGCATGGGATTTCCCAAAGGGCAGGCCCAGGCTCCAGGCCATTCTCTTAGTCAACATCTTGCTGTCCCCTGAGATTGGGTGACCCACGGGGATGACTCAGGACCATCCCCATCAGAGTTGGGCCCTTAATTCACTCCAGGTCAGTGCCCACCTGGCCAACACTCTGTAGATGGGTTCAAGCCCTGCCAGCCATGCCCACGTGGTACCTACCAACCTGAAGCAGGACGGACCTTATGCTTCCCATGTGGTGGGGGCCTCACCACCAAGCACGATGGGGCCATCTCCTTTCAAGACTGTGACACCAAAGGTGAGTGGGCTATTCACCCCACTAGGGACACCCTAATCCCAACTTCCAAAAAAAACTCTCTGAGTCCCCAGAGTAGACCTAATGTTGTCCCATAATTTCCCCCAAACCAGGAAAAGGCCCAGCTGCCTGACCAGCCATACCATCCTTCTCCTAGGACCCATCCTGGCCCTCCACCAGTCCCAAGCCTGGGAATTGAGAAATAATTAACAGTCCCACCTACCCCCTGCTTTGAAGAACTAGTGGCACATTCCCCTCCATACACTAAATGAATTTCTGTATAGATTTGATACTGTGCTCAGTGTCTGAAAGAAAAGGATTGGCACTACAGCCAACCACTCTGTAAACTTTGTTTTTCCCTGGGCTTAAAATCTGGCATGACCAGGAAAGGTTGGGACCCTGGAAGGAACTTTGCTGTCGTCAATCTCCTGATTCTCCATGATGAATGTATCCTGCCCATCCCATGCCCCAGAACTCCTGCCAGCCCGCCATCTTGATTCCTGCCTTTCCCCCTTGCTGCAGTCCAGTGCTCCCCAGGGCACTACTACAATACCAGCATCCACCGCTGTATCCGCTGCGCCATGGGGTCCTATCAGCCTGACTTCCGACAGAACTTCTGCACCCGCTGTCCAGGAAACACAAGCACTGACTTTGACGGCTCCACCAGCGTGGCCCAGTGCAAGAGTACGTGGCAAGCCAGGCTGTAGAAAAGGGAGTAGAGAGGCCTGGGGACAATGGCCATGGAAAGAAGAGGAGTGGCAAACCAACAGGGAACAGGGCTGGGGGGTGGTTGGGCAGGAAAGTCCCACTCTCCATCTCTCCCCATCCCACTCAATCTCAAGGTCAGTTTCTAGGTTGGGCCCTGTAGCACCCTCTCCCTGGAGACAGGTAATGAGACATAGACAGATGAAGTGAGAAGGAAAGGTACTAAAAGAGCAGGAAGGAAGATGGACCCAGAACTTGGAATACAGATGACCTAGGATGGTGGCTGCCCACGTGTGTCTGACCTCCACTTCAGAACTCTTTAGTTTCCCCAACCCATTTCCCCTCTGACTTACTTTTCTTTGTTGCTCTATCCACCGTGGCTTGGCTGCAGATCGTCAGTGTGGTGGGGAGCTGGGTGAGTTTACTGGCTATATCGAGTCCCCCAACTACCCGGGCAACTACCCAGCTGGCGTGGAGTGCATCTGGAACATCAACCCCCCACCCAAGCGCAAGATCCTTATCGTGGTACCTGAGATCTTCCTGCCATCTGAGGACGAGTGTGGGGACGTCCTCGTCATGAGAAAGAACTGTGGGTGGCTGCAGAGCTGGGCCAGGGAAGGGCAGTCCAAATCTGGTTAAGAGGGAGAAAGAGAGACTGGTACAGGAAGAATGAGAGCAGGGATCTGTGAGGACAAAATAGTGAGAGTGGCCTTAGGAGGTGAGAAGCTAACAGAGGAAAACAGCAATGAATGGCACATACTCGGTAGAGAGCAGAATTAAGAAAGCCTTGCTGAGGCTAGAATTCTAATGGTGTTCCATGTGTTACTTTCCTATCCTAGTATTTCTGCCATTCCATTCATTTAAATGTCAAATTTCTTACGCTATGTGAGTGCCTGGATTCAAAGAGAAGTTGTGGAATGAGCCCCGGGGGCAATGGGAGAGGGTAAGGGGTGTGGGGTATGTGTGTAGTGGGGGAGCCTTTGTCAGAGTGATTCTGTCCCCCATGCCCTGCTCCAGAGCCCTCATCCCAGGAGGGCTTGCACAGCCTGCCCTGCTGCTCCGCTGACCTGCTGCTTGCCTCCCCAGCCTCCCCATCCTCCATTACCACTTATGAGACCTGCCAGACCTACGAACGCCCCATCGCCTTCACGGCGCGTTCCAGGAAGCTCTGGATCAACTTCAAGACAAGTGAGGCCAACAGCGCTCGTGGCTTCCAGATCCCCTATGTTACCTATGATGGTGAGCAAGGGCAGGAATCACGGAGGTGGGTGAGAAAGGGGAGGCCCAGAGGTCTTGGGAGGGAGCCAGGAGAGCAGGAAGAGCTCCCACCCCTCACCTCCTCCCCTTGGTTGACTCTGCAGAGGACTATGAGCAGCTGGTAGAAGACATTGTGCGAGATGGCCGGCTCTATGCCTCTGAAAACCACCAGGAGATCTTAAAGGCAAGTGAATATTAACAATAATAATGATAGCCAACATTTAATGAGCATGTAACCCTGTGCAGGCGATATGCTAAGTGCTTATGTGAATATTCTCATTTGATTCACACAGAAGCTCTACGAGGTAAATACTCTTATCATTCCCACTTTATAGATGAGAAAACTGAGGCACAGAGAATTAAAGACTCCCAGTGCTAAAGCTGGGATCTGATCCCAAGTCTCTCTGACTGCAGTGTCACCCACACTGTATTATACCTTGGGGAGAACTTGTAGGAGAATGGGAAGGTAAAAAGAAATGTCCTGTACCTCTTTCACCAAGAGACAGGAAAAATGAAGTACAGAAAGTTGCTTTTGCATAAGTCCCTTCCTTCCATTATCTCCATCCACCCCACGCCACACTGAGAAGCAGCAGATCTAGCACAGCTTTCTCAGAATCAGTTCATGTACAGATTCCTTTTAAAGGAAAACAAATATATCTAGTACTGAAGAATGGAAGGAAACCCTGGGTTGGTGGATCCCAATTTAAGAAAATCTTATTTAAGAAACTATAGTCTTAGTCATAGAATTATCCTTCATAAATTATCACTGCAAAAAAGTCTATCTTATGAGTAAAATAATTTTTATGTTATCATCAAAAGCCATAATGGCAAAAATCACCTAGAACTTGCAGACTCCAAAGGATATAATTGCTGAAATATTTTTCAAACATTTTAAGTATCTGAACCCTTATTCCAAATCAAATGTACTATGGGACTCCAATGCATAAAGCAGTACAGCTGTTCTGATTAAAGAGGACTGGGTTGAGAGGCTCCCTCATTATTTTAAAAATCCACTGATGCAGTGGAAAAACCACCAGCCTAGGAACCAGAAGATCTGAGTTTTTAATGCACGATGCCTGACACTTAGTAGGCTCCCACACGTCATGCTGCTGTTGCAGACAGGGTGGTCAGGAAAGGCCTCTGGAGAGAAGAGACCTGAGTGAAGGAAAGGGGCTACCCATTAGAACACCAGGGAGGTGCATTCCAAGCTAAGGAGCAGGGGAGCAGTTTGGCGTGCTTAGGATCCTCAAGAAGGCCAGTGTGGCTCAGCATAGTGAGGACGAGTGGAGGGGAAAGCAAGGCACAGATAGCATTTAGCCTATGGGCCATGCAATGGACTCAGCTTTACCCTGGGTGATAAAAGAAACCAGAGAAGTGTTTCAAACAGGAAAAAGATGAAATAATTAAAAAATCAAAAAGTCACACTGGCTGCTGTACAGAGAACAGTCTTTGGAGAGACAAGGGTAGAAGCATGGACACCAGTGAGGAGGCTATTGCAGTAGTCCAAGTGAGAGATGATGGTGGCTTGGACCAGGGAAATATCTGCAAAGATGGTGAGAAATGGTCACCATCCAAATATATCCAAATATGGATATAGTTTGAAGGTAGAGTCAAGCAGGAGAGGGATGGCTCCAAGGAATGGGGCCTGAGCAATAGAAGAATGGAGCTGCCATTGACTGAGTTGTGGAACTGTAATGACTGAGTTGTGGAACTCTAAAAGAGCAGATGGTGGGATGGGAATCCAGAGTTACCTCTGGGTATGTTCAGCATGAGACACCTGTTAGCCATGAAGAGGGACTGCAGAGCCATGATGTTCCTCTTTCCCACCCCCATTGCTGAGGCTGACATTGCTGCCTGCCATCCTCTGCAGGACAAGAAGCTCATCAAGGCCTTCTTTGAGGTGCTAGCCCACCCCCAGAACTACTTCAAGTACACAGAGAAACACAAGGAGATGCTGCCAAAATCCTTCATCAAGCTGCTCCGCTCCAAAGTTTCCAGCTTCCTCAGGCCCTACAAATAGTGCCCCTAGGCCCAGAGACCCAGGTTTTGAAACCCTCAAACTTCTTAGCCCTCAGAGCCGGTAGCCCCCACCCTCAGACAAAGAACTCTCACCTCTCTCTGGAGAAAAAAATATCACTACACGGACCAGGCACTCTCCCTTTCTGTCTTTCTAGTTCCCTCTCTCTTTCTCTCTCTGTCTCCTGTTTTTCTCTTTCCTACTCACTCCCTGGAAAAGCCATTCAGTGCTGGCTCTATTCCCCCTGAGGGGTGAAGGAACTGCATTGCCCCTTCCCTGCCCATTTTACCAGCTCATATGCCTGGTTCCATCAGCTTGGAAGGGTGCTAGAGGCCCATGAAGAAAATGGGTCAAATGGAGAATGGGGAGGGGGAAGTGGGGCTTCTGCCATTATAGGGTTGTGCCTTTGCTAGTCAGGAGCCAGAACGTCCACAGGCTGTGCTCCCCAGGGTAATTCTAACAGCCCAGAGTCCTGCCAAAGAAGCCTTTGACTTACAGGCTCAATGCCAACACTGGTCCTCTAGGGCACATGATTTGAGCTCTGGACTGCCCACATAGCTGGCTTTCTTATCTATATAGCTCCTCTCTTTCTTCCCCCACATGTCTGCCTGGGGTCTACTCCATAGGGTTTACAAGTGGCCCACAACACTGGGCTAGTGGATACCGGCTGAATGAGGAAGAGCAACAGGCACTGCCACATTGAATGCCCTGCTTTGGCTCCCGGAGAGAAAGACTGTAGCTCTGCAAGACAAAACCCAGGTTTGAAAGCATCACCAAAAAAAGAAAAAAGAAAACAGAAAGAAAAGAAAATATATCATCTAAAAGACCAGATAGAACAATTGGAAGCTAACTTCAAACACTAATCCCTTTTCTTACATGTCTTCCCTGGCCCGGCTACCCTCTTAGTTCCACACAAGTGCTCCCTGGGGGAGCCCTACTCCCCTTGCTACATGTTGTCCTTAAAGAAGCATGGCTGTTGACCTGAAGCCAGCCTGGGCCTCGCCCCACAGTTGTCTTTCCCTTGTAGCCCCAGGTGGCTTGTGGGCTCTACCAAAGAGGACCCCAGTCTATAGCCAGCCTGGAGCCACCTACCTCTGGCCTCAGGCTGTGGGCAGCAAGAGGAATGTGTGTGTACTTGGCGAGCCTCCTGCCCACCCTGTCCACATCTAATAAGTGCAATCATTTTGAGTCTTTCTATGTTGTCTAGAGGGAGGGTTTTTTGTTTTTGTTTCTTTTTCCTCTATTAGAACAACCCTATTTATAGCTGCCCAAGAGAGAAGAGTGTATGTTTGGAGTAGAAGAAAATCAGTTTTGAATCTTATGAACCTTAAGTGCTGGAGCATCTGATCTCTCTATTCCACCAGTGACCACCCAGACCTCTAGAAGCTTTGGTTGGGTTAACCCAGGGTGATAACTCAGAGGCATTTGATATGTAGGAAAGTAATTCGGGGCCAGGTGTGGTGGCTCATGCCTGTAATCCTAGCACTCTGGGAGGCCAAGGTGGGAGGATCGTTTGAGCTCAGGAGTTCGAGACCAGCCTGAGCAAGAGTGAGACCCCGTCTCTACTAAAAATTAGAAAGAAATCAGCTGAATAACTAAAAATATATATATATATATAAAAAATTAGCCGGGCATGGTGACACATGCCTGTAGTCCTAGCCACTCAAGAGGCTGAGGCAGGAGGAGCTCTTGAGCCCAGGAGTTTGAGGTTGCTGTTAGCTAGGGTGACACCATGGCACTCTAGCCTAGACAACAGAGTGAGACTATATCTCAAAAAAAAAAGTAATTCTGGGGACTGGATGGAGCAGGAAGGCAAGGGACCTGTGTTTGCTAAACCAATCCTGCTGTCCCTCTCTATGGATTCAGTATGAACCTCTTGATTGTAGAGGCCAATGGAAATGGTGATTTTCTACCCCAAGTAGGGAAAACCTCCATCTTTTCCCTGTCTTCATCCTGTTTTCCCCTGGTGTGCCTATGGAAGAAGACCAGGACAAACTACCTGGGGATGGGCTGACTCAGGGTCTGAGGCCAGACACAAGGTTGTAGAAGCCAAGAATAGGACAGTTACCAAGGTGTCAAGCTGGTGAAAGCACCAGATATTTGCAGGACCCTGGCCACTTCCCTCTCAGAGTTGACTTCAAGCCTAGCTTCCTCAACTATTGTTTTTCTAAAGAAAGAATCAAGTCCATGCCAAGCCCAGAGCCTGTACACATTCTGCCTTTAATTCAATGTGCTGCCTGTAAAATTATTCTTCCAATAGCTCCTTCTGGTTCCCTTAAAGCTGTAGTCCTAGTCAATCCAAGGCTACCAATTGACTTCTCAGGTTCATTTCTAGGTGACCGTCCCAGGATACTTCT